TGGGCGTTACCTATGCAAATGCCACCTGCCTAGGCATGCCCACTTCTGGCTGACTCAGGAACAAGTGTGGGCATTACCTATGCAAATGCCGACTGCCTAGGCACGCCCACTTCTGGCTGACTCAGGTGTGGGTGGTAGCTATGCAAATACAGCCTGCCTAGACACACCCACTCCTCCCCACTGACTCAGCATTAGGTGTGGGCGTTACTTATGCAAATGCAGCCTGCCTAGGCACACCCACTCCTCCCCACTGACTGAGGTGTGGGCGTTACCTATGCAAATGCAGCCTGCCTAGGCACACCCACTCCTCCCCACTGACTGAGGTGTGGGCGTTACCTATGCAAATGCAGCCTGCCTAGGCACGCCCACTCCTCCGGGCTGACTCAGCATCATGTGTGGGCGTTACCTATGCAAATACCACTTTCCTAGGCACGCCCACTTCTCCCCGCTGACTCAGCATCACGTGTGGGCGTTACCTATGCAAATGATACCTTCCTAGGCACGCCCACTTCTCCAGGCTGACTCAGGATCACGTGTGGGCGTTACCTATGCAAATACCACTTTCCTAGGCACGCCCACTTCTCCCCGCTGACTCAGCATCACGTGTGGGCGTTACCTATGCAAATGATACTTTCCTAGGCACGCCCACTTCTCCAGGCTGACTCAGGATCACGTGTGGGCGTTACTTATGCAAATGCTGCCTGCTTTGGAACACCCACTCTTCCAGACTGATACCCGCCCATCAAGGCATTTTGATATTTGCATAACTCCTCCCACTGCTTGCATCAGGCCTGAGGACTCTTATGAGCAGTACAGAGGCGGGGCGATGTGATGTTTTCAGCTCTTTTGCTGGTCCCTCCCACCAGCCACAATCTACCTGCATTGCATTGAGAAGCACAGAGACCCAGTGATGACATCCATACAATAAGGTCTGTAATGAAGACGGAAATTTTTTTTCTCTTTAAATACCAGCGGGGGAAGGCTGGGGGAGGGACCAGGGCGGGGGAGGGACCAGGGAAGGCACAACAGAAGTAGATTAAAGTTCAACTTTAATTCAGAAAAGCGATTTTCTTGCTGCAAACGATATAAAAACTTCCCCCAAAAGGGCTACAGACACCCATCAGACCTTCCCCGCTCCACCCATATCCGAAAACAAGATGGCGGCTCTGTGGGTGGGGCCCCGTCTCTAGAGGTTCAGGTAGTCGAGGTTTCGGTGGTGGCACATATCCGTGGTCCACACCACGTCCGTCCGCTCCGCCCTCGCCAGCCTCTCCTGCAGCTCCGCCGAGAACCGCGCCAGCTTCTCCTGGTCGATGAGTCTGTCCGCCGGCTCCCCGTACAAATCCGACCAATCCAGGCCCTCGCCGCAGCAGTCCACGGGGTACGGGTACACCACCAGCCGGAGCTCCCGGAGCCCCAGGAAGTCCTGCAGGAGAGTCCTCAGCCCCCCGGAGGATAAAGGGTTACTGAAGAGTCCGAGGTAGCGCAGTCGGGAACAGCGGCAGAGGGCGGGCGCCAGCGCCGACAGGGCGGAGTCAGTGAGATGGCACTCCATGACGTCCAAGTGGAGGAGGGAGGAGGAGACGGCGGCCAGCAGCTGCTGGAAGGGGGGGAGGAGGAGCTCTGACAGCCTGGTCCCGCTCAGGTCCACCTTCTTCAGGGCGGAGGAGTGGAGGCTCCGCGACAAATAATAGAAATCCGCCGGCAGGAGGAAACAAAACGCCAATTCCAGACTCTCCAACGGCTCCTGGAGGCACCTGAGAAAAGAAAAGGACCGCAGAGTTCAGGAGCAATCCAGGCCAATGGGAGGCGGGAGTGATATGTATGGGCGGAGTCTGACATCCTCTCCTATCCAATGTGGAGATCCCCTGCCAACATTTCCTATTATGCCCCACCCACCCCCACCTTAATCTATCCCACCCACCTTCATGAGTCCCGCCCACCTTCATGTGTTCCGCCCACCATCATGTGTACCCTGCCATCCTGCATGTATCCCCACCCACCTTCATGAGTCCCGCCCACCTTCATGTGTTCCGCCCACCATCATGTGTACCCCGCCATCCTGCATGTATCCCCACCCATCTTTCATGTGTTCCCACCCACCTTTCATGTGTCCCGCCCACCTTCGTGTGTCCCCCGCCATCCTGCATGTATCCCCACCCACCTTTCATGTATCCCCACCCACCTTTCATGTGTCCCGCCCACCATCATGTGTACCCCGCCATCCTGCATGTATCCCCACCCACCTTTCATGTGTCTCTGCCCATCTTCATATGTACCCCGCCCACCTTCATGTGTCCCCACCTACTTCCTACTTAACTTTTCTGACATGTCACACCTAGGCTGAGATGATGTCATCAGTCTGCTGCAGGCAGGAGGAAGCATTTCCTCAGTCTCCCCTCCCCCAGTGATCAGACTGTACATTTTAACAGCTTTTCCTTTTTTTAAATTAAAATAAAAAAATTTTTTGGGGGGGGGGGCTTTTCCTTTTTTTAAATTAAAATAAAAAAATTTTTGGGGGGCTTTTCATCTTTTATTTTTAATTTATTAAACTTAAATTTGTTCTATTTTTTTTAAGGGGGTTTTGCATTTCTTAAACTTTATTTTTTTCTATTTGTTTTGGGGGGGGGGGGTTTCATTTTTAATTTAAACTTTTTTTTTATTTTTTGGAGGGGGGTTTCATTTTTTAGTTATTAAACTTACATTTTTTTTGGGGGGGGGGCTTTTCCTTTTCTACATTCAAAATTACATTTTTTTTGGGGGGGCTTTTCATCTTTTATTTTTAATTTATCAAACTTACATTTTTCTAATTTTTGGAGGGGGTTTTCACTTTGTATTTCTTAAACTTTAATTTTTTTTAAATAATTGTTTTTTTTTAGGGGGGGGGGCTTTCATTTTTTTAAAATCAAAATTGTATTTTGTTTTGGGGGGGGGGGGGGGGGGGAGGATTTTTCATTTCTTTAATTATTTTTCATATTTTTTATTTAAAATTTATAAACTAATTTTTTTTTTTTTTTTTTTTTTGGGGGGGGGGGGTCATTTTATATTTATGAAACGATTTGGGGGCCTTTTCATATGGGGGGGGCCTTTTCATTTTTCATTGCTTTAATTTCTTTTCCCACCTTGCGGGGGCTGATACGTGATGTCACGTCGGGGGCAGGGAAGGGGTTACGGGAATATTGCCCCTGAAGATGGCGTCTCACCCCAGCACCCGCTGCAGCCACCCGGACAGGCGGGAGGATCCGAGGTTCAGCTCCTGCAGGGATTTCAGCTGTGCGAGGAGCGCGGCGAATCTCCTGGTGGCGTCCTCCATGTCGGGGGTGGGGCGGCGGAGGTCGACGTTGCTGTACGGCAGTTGGAGGCTGCGCAGGGCGTGGAATCTCGCCATGGCGGGCAGGACGGCGTTGAGACCCTCCAGGCCGAGGTTGTTGAAGCTGAGGTCGATCTGGCGCACCCCCGCCGGTTCCAGGAGTTCCAGCAGCGCCACCGTCCTCCGCAGGGACAGCTCCTTGGCCCGCAGGTCACGGCACCGCAGACGTAGGGGCCCGTGGACGCTGGCCTGGAGCGCCTCCCGCAGGACGGAGAAAGATGTGCTGTTCACGTAGAGGTCCACCCGCACTTCCACCACGCACGCGGAGTCCGGGGGGGGGGGCGGGACCGGCGCGGAGTTTCCGTCTCCCCGCCTCCTCTTCGCCGCTTGGGTGGCTTCGCTGCGGCGCCTCTTGGAGAGCTCGATGCATGCCTTGGCCAGGGTCACCGTGCGTGACAATGCGCTCATCGCGTCAGGGCCTTGTTCCAAGATGGCGGTGCGGGCGCCCGTCATGTCGAGGAGACGCAAGCGATGCCCCCTGCGCAACAAGAGCGAAAGGTTAGTGTGCGTGCCCAACGGACATCAACTGCAAAACATAAACCCATATCAGTTATGAGTGGAGTGGCCCTTTAAGGTCCTTTCATTAAGTGTATTGGCCCTTTAAGGCCCTGCCATTGAGTGGAGTGGCCCTTTAAGGTCCTTCCATTGAGTGGAGTGGCCCTTTAAGGTCCTTCCATTGAGTGTATTGGCCCTTTAAGGTCCTTCCATTGAGTGGAGTGGCCCTTTAAGGTCCTTCCATTGAGTGGAGTGGCCCTTTAAGGTCCTTCCATTGAGTGGAGTGGCCCTTTAAGGTCCTTCCATTGAGTGGAGTGGCCCTTTAAGGTCATGCCATGGAGTGGAATGGCCCTTTAAGGTCCTGCCATGGAGTGGAATGGCCCTTTATGGTCCTGCCATTGAGTGGAGTGGCCCTTTAAGCTCCTGCCATTGAGTGGAATGGCCCTTTAAGCTCCTGCCATTGAGTGGAATGGCCTTTTAAGCTCCTGCCATTGAGTGGAATGGCCCTTTAAGGTCCTGCCATTGAGTGGAATGGCCCTTTAAGGTCCTGCCATTGAGTGGAATGGCCTTTTAAGCTCCTGCCATTGAGTGGAATGGCCCTTTAAGGTCCTGCCATTGAGTGGAATGGCCCTTTAAGGTCCTGCCATTGAGTGGAATGGCCCTTTAAGGTCCTGCCATTGAGTGGAATGGCCCTTTAAGGTCCTGTTATTGAGTGGAATGGCCCTTTAAGGTCCTTCCATTGAGTGGAATGGCCCTTTAAGGTCCTGTTATTGAGTGGAATGGCCCTTTAAGGTCCTTCCATTGAGTGGAATTGCCCTTTAAGGTCCTTCCATTGAGTGGAGTGGCCCTTTAAGCTCCTTCCATTGAGTGGAGTGGAATGGCCCTTTAAGGTCCTGCCATTGAGTGGAGTGGCCCTTTAAGGTCCTTCCATTACAGGGAACTTCACCTTTTTTATTGAAAAAGAGGCATCTCCACCCGAGACCTCCTAAGCCTCTACAGAGGATGTAAGTCGCCATTGTGAAATGATTCTGAAAATACAAGTTCCCTGGCTGTCATGCTGATCCAATGGTTTCGGGCAACTGCCATTTCTTTCTTGTCTATTGAGGGACACGCCCATTTTTAGACCATAGGGTTATGCTGCCACCTACAGGAGGACTGGACACTGACAATGAGAATAGGCCAACCTCCAGTGTAACCCCCAACATCGGTGTCAGTAAGTGCAATAATGACCCCCAACATTGGTATGAGTACTATTACCCCCCCCCCCACTCTTGAAATCCCCCCCCCCCCATTGCACTGGGGGTTGTGACAGTGAAGGGTAACCCACCATCCCCCCCAATGGGAATCCCTCACCCATCACACGGTCATGCACCGCTCTCTCTCAGCAGGCTGGGATTTTGCTTGTACTATGGGCGGAGATACAGTAACTCCACCCACAGTAACTCCACCCACAGTAGTCTCTCTCATTCAGTACCCAGAAAACACAGAATGTTCCAGCGCCCGACCCCCTACTGCCCCCCTTAGATTGCCCCGTTGCCCGAGGGCTGCGTGTTGGGCACCAGCAACCTAGAGGATCAGCCTGTAGTTCCCGGCTTACCTCTCCACCCCAAAGCGGGAAGCATTTGTACCCCCTCCATCCTCTACTTCAGTACTTGTTCCACATTTGGGACCTTCTTGACCCTCCAGCTGTAGGATTTGAGGCCGGTGGTTCACTCACCCTTCTGCCTAAAGGTGCGCCCCCACTTCTACAAGTGGGGGGCTGTCTGTTCATCTCCATGTGGCTTTGGGCGGTGTGCCTTCTACACTCCCTCTCTATAGTTCCCTCAAGAACCCTTGAGTCAGGTTCCCCTCCATCAGCCATTCATTGTTGTTTGAGTGTAGCGACCTACCTACAAGGTACCTACAAGGTCTCTTCCAAGGCCATTCCGGGTCCTCACACAGACTCCGGCTCCTTCTTCCAGCACCATTCTCTATATCTTTAGACACTGCAGAGCCCTTTCTGGTACCATTTAGCCTTCCCATTCTGTTGGGGGAACTTCAGACCTTCAAGGTTGTCCTGGGCCAGTCCCTACTGTTCCCTGTCCTGATGAGAACCTGCATTATCTAGTCTATTTGTCCTTTGCAGGCCTTGTGTTGTCCCACTTGTTTGGTGGATTGTTGGTGGTCTCTCTGCCTTAGCTGGGTTGGACTCAAGGTCCTTCAAGAAACATCTTGTGGATTGTTGGTGGTCTCTCTCTGCCTTCGCTGGATTGGGCTCAAGGTCCTTTAGGAGCATCCTGTAGATTGTTGGTGGTCTCTCTCTGCCTTAGCTGGGTTGGGCTCAAGGTCCTTCAAGAAACATCTTGTGGATTGCTGGTGGTCTCTCTCTGCCTTAGCTGGGTTGGGCTCAAGGCCCTTCAAGAAGCATCCTGTGGATTGTTGGTGGTCTCTCTGCCATAGCTGGGTTAGGCTCAAGGTCCTTCAAGAAGCATCCTGTGGATTGCTGGTGGTCTGTCTCTGCCATAGCTGGGTTAGGCTCAAGGTCCTTTAAGAAGCATCCTGTGGATTCTTGGTGGTTTCTCTGCCTTAGCTGGGTTGGGCTTATGGTCCTTCTAGAAGCACCTTATGGATTCTTGGTGGTCTCTCTGCCTTAGCTGGATTGGGCTCAAAGTCCTTCAAGAAGCATCCTGTGGATTGCTGGTGGTCTCTCTGCCTTAGCTGAGTTGGGCCTAAGGTCCTTCAAGAAACATCCTGTGGATTGTTGGTGGTCTCTCTGCCTTAGCTGAGTTGGGCTCAAGGTCCTTCAAGAAGCATCCTGTGGATTGCTGGTGGTCTGTCTCTGCCTTAGGTGGGTTGGGCTCAAGGTCCTTCAAGAAGCATCTTATGGATTCTTGGTGGTCTCTCTGCCTTAGCTGGGTTGGGCCTAAGGTCGTTTAAGAAGCATCCTGTGGATTCTTGGTGGTTTCTCTGCCTTACCTGGGTTGGGCTCAAGGTCCTTCAAGAAGCATCATGTTGATTCTTGGTGGTCTATCTCTGCCTCAGCTGGGTTGAGCTCAAGGTCCTCCAAGAAGCATCCTGTGGATTCTTGGTGGTTTCTCTGCCTTACCTGGGTTGGGCTCAAGGTCCTTCAAGAAGCATCATGTTGATTGTTGGTGGTCTATCTCTGCCTCAGCTGGGTTGAGCTCAAGGTCCTCCAAGAAGCATCCCGTGGATTCTTGGTGGTCTATCTCTGCCTCAGCTGGGTTGGGCTCAAGATCCTTCTAGAAGCATCCTGTGGATTCTTGGTGGTCTATCTCTGCCTCAGCTGGGTTGGGCTCAAGGTCCTTCTAGAAGCATCCTGTGGATTCTTGGTGGTCTATCTCTGCCTCAGCTGGGTTGGGCTCAAGGTCCTTCTAGAAGCATCCTGTGCATTCTTGGTGGCCTATCTCTGCCTCAGATGGGTTGAGCTCAAAGTCCTTGAAGAAGCATCCTGTGGATTGTTGGTGATCGCTCTGACTTAGCTGGGTTGGGCTCAAGGTCCTTCAAGATGCATCCTGTGAATTGTTGGTGGTCTATCTCTGCCATAGCTTGGTTGGGCTCAAGGTTCTTCAGTAAGCATCCTTCCCTGTTCCATGTTTGTCGTGGACCTGTGAGCAGCCTACCCCTCAGTTGGACTGCTTCTGGGTGTCCTGCTGGTCTTAGAATCAATCTCTGTGTCCCTCAATGGACAGGACTTTTGTACTCACGGTAAAATATTTTTCCTGGAGTCCATTGTGGGACACAGGTTCCCCCATCTGTGTTTTTAGGCCCTGATGCATGCTGGGTAAAGGAGAGGTTACACTGTCTTAGCCAGTGTCCAATCCTCCAGTAGGTGGCAGGATCACCCAGCGGTAGAAGAATTCCGGTTTCCCTCAATGGACTCCAAGAAAGGATTTTAAGGTGAGTACAAGAATCTTAATTTCCAAAAGACTCCTTTGGCCCAGGATTTCCCGGGGACTCTGGTGTGGACATCTCTGAGTTCCATCCCAGCTCCCCCTCCCCCCCCAAGAGTCTCATTCCTCCTGCAGGATTGGTCAGTTACCTCTCTCTACTCATCCTGTAATGTTGGCTCATGGCGTCGCCCAGGGAGGCCACAATGCCCAGTATGACGGTCTGCATGGACTGCCGGCTGAAATGGAGGTGGGCATGGCGCCTCGGAGCAGCTCCTGGAAGCTGAGGATGGGGAACGGCCATCTCTGCACCAGGTCCTGCAGCACCAGAGTCTTCCTCCCCAGGAAAGCGGCAGCGAAGAGCGGCGAGTAGAGCTCACGGGGGATGGAGTCCAGCGCCCGGTGGAAGGAGGCGTGGTCACTCACCACCTTCTGCGCGCATGCATATACCAGAGACAGCATGACTCCGCCCCCATTATCCCCGTCCCTGGAAAGACAAAGAACACACAGCGCTCAGATATGCGGGACACCAGTCATGGAGACCACCCAAAAATACCAGCCTGGTTGTCACCTTCATCCTCTTCAGTGCTTTATGAGTAACCAGCCTGGAACAAGCAAGCAGCCAGTGAGGGCCAAATGATTTTTCCGCTGTGGTCAGCATGGCAGCCAGGAAACTGGCATTTCCAGGAGATCAGTTGTTGTCTTCATGACAAAAGCGACACCTTAAGAGTTTTGTAACGAGAACAGGGGCGGACTGACCATGCGAGCACTGCCGAGGGCCCGGGGGTCAGTAGGGGGCCCCATGAGATGCCCCTGGTACCTTTCATTGGTTTTTTCATAGGCTTTTTTGGGTGTGGGCGAGGACACGGAGGCCCCATGATCCCCTATTGCCCAGGGGCCCCATGAGTTGTCAGTCCGCCCCTGAACGAGAATTTAGGACAGCGGATGAGGCTCATTGGCCTCATTAAAGTGCAACTCCACCCAAAACGGTTTTTACATTTAGTTGTGGGAGGAACGGGGGAAGATTAGGACCCATTCACATTCGTCCGACACGATGTGGGAGTTGTGAGCTCTGGTATCCAATGTCAATGGCACCCCAATGGGCGCATTGGCCCCAACGCACCCCCCCCCCCGGATACGCATGGTGATGGACTACAGTGGCTGCCATGTGTGCAGGTGCACTGAGAGGGGCGCTATGGAGTCCACTGATATGACTGGTCTGCCACATGAACGAGCCGCAATGGAGGCTCATCTTCAATGGCGGCCCACCCATTTGTACGCGGCGCGTGTCAGCGCATGACGTAACGCGCGTTACGGCACTGCCCCGGAATGGACAGGTGTGAACGGGCCCCTTCGGGTTGTTACTTCTCTCTAGGGGCCCCATTGGAGGTCCCGGTGACAACCTGTAGAAGCCGCCCTGATTTTCCATTTCCAATTCCATCCGTCATGGTTGGCGTCACCAGCGGAATCATAGCGATTCCGGGGTCCTCGGGGGGTTCAGGTCCATTCCCCTTTTGGGGACCCCTAAGAGTGTCACCCCAACCAAAGCCTCCGCTGGAAGTTCCTCCGGTGTAAATAAGGGGGCTGCTTCTTCCTCACTTCCTGGGGGGGTCCTAAGACTTCACTGGCTGCATGCTTGTTCCAGAATGAGCCCAGGGTGAAGGCACATTCCCACCAGGACAGGCACTCAGGGGCCCCACAGCCTCACACCCACCTGCAGCCAGGTTCCCAGGGCCCGCTCACCGATGACGTCATCTGGAATCCCCTTCCTGATTGGTGGAAGGAAGTGAAAGTATCGCGCAGGGGGCGCGGTGTCCGGCAGGTGGCGCTGTCACGCAATGATACATCTTGCAGTACCGGTTGAGGTCGGCGGGTGTCGGTCCCTCCATCTGTGATATCTGCGGTTGCGCGGCAGAGGGGGAGTAGTACCGGATAGAGCCAGGAGGTGGCGCTCTCTCTCTTAGTACATGGCCATGAGGAGCAGTACCGCAATGTGGCCACAGCAGAGGTGGCGCTCGAGTATCAGCTGGTGATCCGTACTGTATAGAGGTGTAGTACCAGCAGTGTATCCGGCAGGTGGCGCTCTAACTCCTAGTGCGATGCCTGCCTATTGTGCAGTATACGGGGTGTAGTACCAGAGCTGTACCCGGCAGGTGGCGCTCACTCCCAGTGTGATGTCTGTCATTGTGTGGCACTGGCGGTGTAGTACCGCACTCTTCCTGCCAGGTGGCGCTCTCACTCCCCATGTGATGTCTGTCATTGTGTGACACTGGCGGTGTAGTACCGCACTCTTCCTGCCAGGTGGCGCTCTCACTCCCCATGTGATGTCTGTCATTGTGTGACACTGGCGGTGTAGTACCGCACTCTTCCTGCCAGGTGGCGCTGGCGTTGTCCCGGGATCCGGAAGTGTCCTATCTGTCAGCCGATCTCGGGGGCCCCGGAGGACGATAATGGCAGGTGGGGGCCCCTCTCAGCCTCTGCCCACAGTGCTGGTGTCGGTCTGGGCCTGGCGGGAGGGGGCGGGGAACTCTCGGGAGGATCTACAGTTACAGCTGAGTGTGGAGGCCGAGAACCCCGGAGACTTCCGACTGGCTGTCCGTCACCCGGCCCGCGGGCCGAATCCCAATACGGTGAGCGGAGGAGGGGTGTCCTGGGGGCTCTGTGTCCCTGGTGGGGGGAGGGGTGTCCTGGGGGCTCTGGGAGGAGTGTCGTGGGGGGGGTGTCCTCGGAGGAGTGTCCTGGGGGCTCTGTCTTTGGTGAGGGGGGGTGTCCTGGGGGCTTTGGTGTGGGGGGAGTGTCTTGGGGGGGTGTCCTGGGGGCTCTGTCCCTGGTGAGGGGGGGTGGGTGTCCTGGGGGCTCTGTCCCTGGTGAGGGGGGGGGGGGGGTGTCCTGGGGGCTCTGTCCCTGGTGAGGGGGGGGTGGGTGTCCTGGGGGCTCTGTCCCTGGTGAGGGGGGGGGGGGGGGTGTCCTGGGGGCTCTGTCCCTGGTGAGGGGGGGGGGGGTGTCCTGGGGGCTCTGTCCCTGGTGAGGGGGGGGGTGTCCTGGGGGCTCTGTCCCTGGTGAGGGGGTGGGTGTCCTGGGGGGCTCTGTCCCTGGTGAGGGGGGGTGGGTGTCCTGGGGGCTCTGTCCCTGGTGAGGGGGGGGGTGTCCTGGGGGCTCTGTCCCTGGTGAGGGGGGGGGTGTCCTGGGGGCTCTGTCCCTGGTGAGGGGGGGTGGGTGTCCTGGGGTCTCTGTCCCTGGTGAGGGGGGGGTGTCCTGGGGGCTCTGTCCCTGGTGAGGGGGAGGGGGGGGGGTGTCCTGGGGGCTCTGGGAGGAGTGTCCTGGGGGCTCTGTCTTTGGTGAGGGGGGGAGGGGTGTCCTGGGGGCTCTGTCCCTGGTGAGGGGGGGTGTCCTGGGGGCTCTGTCCCTGGTGAGGGGGGGTGTGCTGGGGGCTCTGTCCCTGGTGAGGGGGGGGGGGTGTGCTGGGGGCTCTGTCCCTGGTGAGGGGGGGGGGTGTCCTGGGGGCTCTGTCCCTGGTGAGGGGGGGGGGGTGCTGGGGGCTCTGTCCCTGGTGAGGGGGGGTGTCCTGGGGGCTCTGTCTCTGGGGGGGGGGAGGGGTGTCCTTGGGGCTCTGTGTCTGGTGGGGGGTGTCCTGGGGGCTCTGTGTCTGATGGGGGGGGGGGGTGTCTTGGGGGCTCTGTCCCTGGTGAGGGGGGGGGGTGTCCTGGGGGCTCTGTCCCTGGTGAGGGGGGGTGTCCTGGGGGCTCTGGGAGGAGTTTCGTGGGGGGGGTGTCCTCGGAGGAGTGTCCTGGGGGCTCTGTCCCTGGTGAGGGGGGGTGTCCTGGGGGCTCTGTCCCTGGTGAGGGGGGGGGGGGGTGTCCTGGGGGCTCTGTCCCTGGTGAGGGGGGGTGTCCTGGGGGCTCTGTCTCTGGTGGGGGGGGAGGGGTGTCCTTGGGGCTCTGTGTCTGGTGGGGGGTGTCCTGGGGGCTCTGTGTCTGATGGGGGGGGTGTCTTGGGGCTCTGTCCCTGGTGAGGGGGGGGGGGTGTCCTGGGGGCTCTGTCCCTGGTGAGGGGGGGTGTCCTGGGGGCTCTGGGAGGAGTTTCGTGGGGGGGTGTCCTCGGAGGAGTGTCCTGGGGGCTCTGTCTTTGGTGAGGGGGGGTGTCCTGGGGGCTCTGTCCCTGGTGAGGGGGGGTGGGTGTCCTGGGGGCTCTGTCCCTGGTGAGGGGGGGGGGGTGTCCTGGGGGCTCTGTCCCTGGTGAGGGGGGGTGGGTGTCCTGGGGGCTCTGTCCCTGGTGAGGGGGGGGGTGTCCTGGGGGCTCTGTCCCTGGTGAGGGGGGGGGGGGGGTGTCCTGGGGGCTCTGTCCCTGGTGAGGGGGGGGGGGGGGGTGTCCTGGGGGCTCTGTCCCTGGTGAGGGGGGGGGGGTGTCCTGGGGGCTCTGTCCCTGGTGAGGGGGTGGGTGTCCTGGGGGGCTCTGTCCCTGGTGAGGGGGGGGTGGGTGTCCTGGGGGCTCTGTCCCTGGTGAGGGGGGGGTGTCCTGGGGGCTCTGTCCCTGGTGAGGGGGGGGGGGGTGTCCTGGGGGCTCTGTCCCTGGTGAGGGGGGGGGGGTGTCCTGGGGGCTCTGTCCCTGGTGAGGGGGGGGGGTGTCCTGGGGTCTCTGTCCCTGGTGAGGGGGGGGGTGTCCTGGGGGCTCTGTCCCTGGTGGGGGGGGGGGGTTGTCCTGGGGGCTCTGGGAGGAGTGTCCTGGGGGCTCTGTCTTTGGTGAGGGGGGGAGGGGTGTCCTGGGGGCTCTGTCCCTGGTGAGGGGGGGGGTGTCCTGGGGGCTCTGTCCCTGGTGAGGGGGGGGGTGTGCTGGGGGCTCTGTCCCTGGTGAGGGGGGGGGTGTGCTGCTGGGGGGCTCTGTCCCTGGTGAGGGGGGGGGGGTGTCCTGGGGGCTCTGTCCCTGGTGAGGGGGGGGGGGGGTGCTGGGGGCTCTGTCCCTGGTGAGGGGGGGGTGTCCTGGGGGCTCTGTCTCTGGTGGGGGGGGGAGGGGTGTCCTTGGGGCTCTGTGTCTGGTGGGGGGTGTCCTGGGGGCTCTGTGTCTGATGGGGGGGGGGGTGTCTTGGGGGCTCTGTCCCTGGTGAGGGGGGGGGGTGTCCTGGGGGCTCTGTCCCTGGTGAGGGGGGGTGTCCTGGGGGCTCTGGGAGGAGTTTCGTGGGGGGGTGTCCTCGGAGGAGTGTCCCTGGGGGCTCTGTCCCTGGTGAGGGGGGGTGTCCTGGGGGCTCTGTCCCTGGTGAGGGGGGGGGGGGGGGTGTCCTGGGGGCTCTGTCCCTGGTGAGGGGGGGTGTCCTGGGGGCTCTGTCTCTGGTGGGGGGGAGGGGTGTCCTTGGGGCTCTGTGTCTGGTGGGGGGGTGTCCTGGGGGCTCTGTGTCTGATGGGGGGGGTGTCTTGGGGCTCTGTCCTTGGTGAGGGGGGGGGGGGTGTCCTGGGGGCTCTGTCCCTGGTGAGGGGGGGTGTCCTGGGGGCTCTGGGAGGAGTTTCGTGGGGGGGTGTCCTCGGAGGAGTGTCCTGGGGGCTCTGTCTTTGGTGAGGGGGGGGGGGGTGTCCTGGGGGCTCTGTCCCTGGTGAGGGGGGGTGTCCTGGGGGCTCTGTCCCTGGTGTGAGGGGGGGGTGTCCTGGGGGCTCTGTCCCTGGTGAGGGGGGGGTGTCCTGGGGGCTCTGTCCCTGGTGGGGGGGGGGGGGGTGTCCTGGGGGCTCTGTCCCTGGTGAGGGGGGGGGGTGTCCTTGGGGCTCTGTGTCCCTGGTGAGGGGGGGGTGTCCTGGGGGCTCTGTGTCTCTGGTGGGGGAGGGGGGGGGGTCCTGACCTTTTGTGTGACTCTAAACCTGTAAAGGCTTCTATCCGCCCCCACGGGGGGGGGGGGGGGGGGGGGTCTCTCGCAGTTCTCAGGGGGGACACGTTGGGTTTGGAATCATCTTTTATGTCTCCAGGATTCAGGAAATCTGTTGCGTTTCGAGCGATAAAATCCATGAAAACGCATTTCCCCCCCGAAGACAATTTGCTTTCAATAAACTTCTCTGCTGATATCACCCGATATAAATGGCAGCGAACGCCCCCCCCCCCCCCCCGTCTCCGGGGTCTCTGCTACAGATACAGATAATATTTGGGGGTCCGAAGTCATTTTGTAGCAATAAAAAAGCTGATTATTACATGTAGGAAAGAAGTGTCACAACTGGGGGAGGGGTGTGGCACTATGGGGGGGTGACTTTGTCAGGTGACACATGCTCTATGCAGTTACCGCCCCCCTCCCCATACCAGGCAGACCATAGGTAATTGCAGTGGGTGGAGCCCTGTACAGGTTTTTCTCCTCCCAGTTCCCCCAAAACCCAACCCTTTCCCCAATATATATCTCCAGCAAATTTGTGGTAGCAATGGCGGTGTCGTGGCGGGGAACATGGCGGTATCCATGGCAGGGAACCTGGCGGTGTCCATGGCGGTGGAACCTGGCGGTGTCCGTGGCGGGGAACATGGCGGTGTCGTGGCGGTGTCCGTGGCGGGGAACATGGCGGTGTCCATGGCGGGGAACATGGCGGTGTCCATGGCGGGGAACTGTCTGTGATACTGTTGGGGAGATTTCTGTTCACTTCCTGTAGTCTCCTCCCTAGGGACACCGCCTTCCCCTTCCCCCTCTCCATCCAAACAAGAAAATCCATTTTGGCTGAAGGGGCGGACATGTTTCTGGTGGGGAAGCAGCGGCAGAGCTCACTTCTCCTCCAACCTTCTGCTTTCCCTTCTCCTCTTGGTGTCACTCAGGTGTCACCACCAACTGCTTCATATTTCAGGTAGAGGCCGGTTCCATCTTGTTGTACAGCGAGACCTCCCCTCTGTAATTCCCGGCTCTGCTCCTGCACACCTGAGGGGGTTCTGGGTGGCCCCCCACCTTCGGGTGCCCCTGCTCCTTCTGTTACGTTCAGCACAGATATCTCACCCATGAGGGTCTCTGAAGGACAGTCCAGACGGGGAGGAGGAGTCTCTGGCATCCACCACACACTGAAATACCGGTCCCGGGTGGAAGGGTTGCTGACCTCTCTGGTCTTTGTTCGCAGATTGTCGGGGAGTTCAGGCTGAGAGATGTCACCTATGAGATGAGGACCTCGCAGTGTCACCAGCTGACCGTCTTGGAGGATCCCACTTCCTGTATGACCTTCAACTTCGATGATGAGCGGGAGGCCCAGAAATGGTGGACGGTGGTGAGCAGCTCCCTCAGAGAGGCCCAGAAGGGTAAGTCCTCCAGGGGAGGCTAGGGATGATAATAATGGGGGGGGGGGGGGCGTTGAGTCTGCCATGGGAGGCCAGGAATGATAATGATGGGGAGAGGGTCGTCTCCCGGGGGAGGGAGGCCCGGAATGATAATGGGGAGAGGGTCATCTCCCGGGGGAGGGAGGCCAGGAATGATAATGGGGAGAGGGTCGTCTGCCGGGGGGGAGGCCAGGAATGATAATGGGGAGAGGGTTGTCTGCCGGGGGGGAGGCCAGGAATGATAATGGGGGGAAGGTTGTCTGCCGGGGGAGGCCAGGGATGATAACAGGGGGGAAGGTAGAGGTTGCTTGGGGAGGGGAAGGTTGAGTCTTCCGGGGATGATAATAGAGGGGGCAGGTTGAGTATGCCGGGGGGAGGCCGGGAATGATAATGGGGGGGGGGGGGAGAGGTTGAGTCTGCCGGGGGGAGGTCAGGGATAATAATAGGGGGGAAGGTTGAGTCTGCCAGGGGAGGCCAGGAATGATAATGGAGGGGTGGGAGGATGAGTGTGCCAGGGGAGGCTGGGGAGGTTGAGTATGCTGGGGAGAGGGGGCCGGGGTGATTTGGAGAGTCAATCCTCCAGGTGAAGCCAAGGATGAAGTTAGGGAAGGGTGACTCCTTCAGGAAGGCCAAGGATGAGGAGGAGCTACAGGAAAAGGCCAGGTATGTTGATAGGAGAAGGCGAGTCTACAGGAGGAGGCCAGGGATGGCGAGTCTACAGGAGGAGGCCAGGGATGGCGAGTCTACAGGAGGAGGCCAGGGATGGCGAGTCTACAGGAGGAGGCCAGGGATGGCGAGTCTACAGGAGGAGGCCAGGGATGGCGAGTCTACAGGAGGAGGCCAGGGATGGCGAGTCTACAGGAGGAGGCCAGGGATGGCGAGTCTACAGGAGGAGGCCAGGGATGGCGAGTCTACAGGAGGAGGCCAGGGATGGCGAGCCTACAGGAGGAGGTCAGGGATGGTGATAGAAGAGGGTGAGTCTGCTGGTGGAGGCCAAAGAGGAGGGTAGAGGAGTGTGAGTCCTTCAGAATAGGCCAAGGATGATGGTGGGGAAGAGTGAGTCCTCTGGGGGGGGGGGGGTTGATATTTATATGGCCCAGGATGATAGCGGAGGATGAGTGCTCAATGGGAGGATAATGATAGTGAACTGTGAGGATTCTGTGGGTGGCCATGGACTATGATGGGGGAGGAAAGAGTGAGTCCTCTGAGGGGAGACCAAAGATGATGATGATAGAGGTCAAGGATGATAGGGGAGAGAAAGTCGAGTCGTCTCAGGAAGGCCAATGATGGAGAAGTGAAAGGCGAGTACTTTGAGTGAGTTTAGGGATAATTATATGGAGGGAACGGGGAGTCCTTTAGGGAGGCCAGGAATGATGACGGGGAAGAGAACGGGGAGTCCTCTGGGGGAGGTCAGGGATAATTATAGGGAGGGAAGGATGAGTCCTTTAGGGAGGCCAAGCAAGATGATGGCAAAGGGTGAGTGTTCAATGGAAGGCCAAGGATGATGATAGGAGGTGGGAGGGTGAATACCCTGGTAGAGACCAGGGATGATGCCGATAGGTTAGGGGAAGGGGGGGGGTCATCAAGGAAGACCAGGGATGATGCTGGTAAAAGAGGGGGAGGGGGAGTCATCCAGGAACCCCAGGGATGGTGACATGGGTGAGTGAGTCCTTGGGGGAGGCCAATGACCTGATATGGAAGAAAGGCTGAGTCCTTTGGGGATACTAATGGGGGATAAAGGTGAGTTCTCCATGAATGATGAGAGGAAAAGGAAGGCTAAGCTTGCAGGCGGAGGCTGGAGATGTTGATTGGGAAAGTTGTCTGGAGATAATGATGGGGAAGGGTGGGTCCTCCAGGGAGTCTGGGGATGATGGTATGGAAGGGAAGGATGAGAATGATGCTGCAGGACATGGAGGTAAAGGAGAACCCGCCATTGAAAGCATTGTACCCCCAGAGTTCTGTCCCACAGAGTGCAACGCAGGGGATGCCTATGGTTTGGCTTCAAGCTCGGTACAAAGTCCTGGAAGAGGCCATAACTGCCGCTCTTGGCTCTGGTCATGTGACACGGTCGTTCCTCTGTCAAGAGGTGGTAAGCAGCCGAAACGGTTCGATTCCTCGGGATTCACGTGAGTGTTTTATTTCAACAGTTGTGAAAAGTCAGTTGGACCCGTCCGGAAAAAAGCCACCAGTACCCACCAAACCCAGGAGCCCCCTGAATGTTGGAGAATCCCTCTCACCAGAGGCTGACCCCACTTTCCCGATGGGCAACCTGTGTACCAAGGGTAAGTGGAAACTCCGTGTCTCTGCGCAGTTTGAGCGTTTCCTAGTGTGGGAAATCCTTCCAAGTACTGACACCTCCCGTAATTGCTGCTGTCGAGTCCATAGGGTAAAGAGGGGCGGGGTTATCTGGTGTCCGAAGGGTGTGGAGGGGCGGGGGTTATCTGGAGCTTAAAGGGTGTGGAGGGGTAATCTGGCATCGGAAGGGTTGAAGGGGCTATATGGTGTGTGGAGGGGTTATCTGGTGTCCAAAAGGTGTGGAGGCGCGGGGTTAAGAGGTGGGGTTATCTGGCATTAGAAGGGGTGGGGTTATCTGGAGCCCGAAGGGTGTGGAAGGGCGGGGTTATCTGGCACCTGAAGGGTGTGAAGGGGCGGGGCTATATGGTGTGTGGAGGGGTTATCTGGTGTCCGAAGGGTGTGGAGGGGCGGGATTAAGAGGTGAGGTTATCTGGTGCCCAAAGGGTGTGGAGGGGCGGGATTAAGAGGTGGGGTTATCTGGCATGTGAAGGGGCGGGGATATCTGGAGCTCGAAGGGTGTGGTGGATGGGTAATCTGGTGTCCGAAGGGTGTGGAAGGGTGGGGTTATCTGGCACCCAAAGGGTGTGAAGGGGCGGGGCCATATGATGTGTGGAGGGGTTATCTGGTGTCCGAAGGTGTGTGGAGGGGCGGGGCTATATGGTGTGTGGAGGGGTTATCTGGTGTCCGAAGGGTGTGAAGGGGCAGGGTTAAGAGGTGGGGTTATCTGGCATGTGAAGGGGTGGGGCTATATGGTGTGTGGAGGGGTTATCTGGCGTCCGAAGGGTGTGAAGGGGCGGGGTTATCTGGCGTCCAAAGGGTGGGGTTATTTGGTGCTTCCCTGTGCTATCTGAAGTGTTGGAGGTGAAAGTCGAAACTACAACTCCCAGCATTCTTAGCATCTTTTGAGAAAGTCGGAAGTGACGAAACGCGTCAGGATGTGACGGCAGACGTATATTACTCCCCATAGTGGAGAAATGTTCAAATTTTTTATTTTAAATAAACTGGGCGGGATCAGTCTTTAGCCCCTTCTTTCCCACCCTGGTGTCCCTTTAATGAGTTAACACCACGCAAGCCAAGATGGAGTCATAGAAAGTTAGAAATGGGAGGAGTTAGCTGAAATCAACATGCCTTCCCTCTCCACCTCCATCAAGGAGCCTTCCCTCCCCCACTTCCATCAAGGAGCCTTCCCCCCCCCACTTCCATCAAGGAGCCTTCCCTCCCCCACCTCCATCAAGGAGCCTTCCCTCCCCCACCTCCATCAAGGAGCCTTCCCTCCCCCACCTCCATCAAGGAGCTTTCCCTCCCCACCTCAGTCAGTGAGCCTTCCCTCCCCCACCTCCGTCAAGGAGCCTTCCCTCCCCCACCTCCGTCAAGGAGCTTTCCCTCCCCACCTCCGTCAGTGAGCCTTCCCTCCCCCACCTCCGTCAGTGAGCCTTCCCTCCCCCACCTCCGTCAGTGAGCCTTCCCTCCCCCACCTCCGTCAGTGAGCCTTCCCTCCCCCACCTCCGTCAGTGAGCCTTCCCTCCCCCACCTCCGTCAGTGAGCCTTCCCTCCCCCACCTCCGTCAGTGAGCCTTCCCTCCCCCACCTCCGTCAGTGAGCCTTCCCTCCCCCACCTCCGTCAGTGAGCCTTCCCTCCCCCACCTCCGTCAGTGAGCCTTCCCTCCCCCACCTCCGTCAGTGAGCCTTCCCTCCCCCACCTCCGTCAGTGTGCCTTCCCTCCCCCACCTCCGTCAGTGAGCCTTCCCTCCCCCACCTCCGTCAGTGAGCCTTCCCTCCCCCACCTCCGTCAGTGAGCCTTCCCTCCCCCACCTCCGTCAGTGAGCCTTCCCTCCCCCACCTCCGTCAGTGTGCCTTCCCTCCCCCACCTCCGTCAGTGAGCCTTCCCTCCCCCACCTCCGTCAGTGAGCCTTCCCTCCCCCACCTCCGTCAGTGAGCCTTCCCTCCCCCACCTCCGTCAGTGAGCCTTCCCTCCCCCACCTCCGTCAGTGAGCCTTCCCTCCCCCATATATATATATATATATATCAATGTACCCCAGGATCGCGCAGAGTGTCCCCTCAATTCTCTCTTTCTTTCAGAGGAGCTGACGGCGCGGCTGAGCCGATGCATAGAGAGCGGGGACCAGGATCTGGCGGCCCAATACGCGGCTGAGTTGGCCAAGTACAGAGTTCCCACTCAGATTCAGCTAAAACCGACCTGCTACCCGAAATCCGAGATCTGGTGAGTGTCATTCCGCGGTCCTCTGTTTACCCCCCTGAATGGGGCGTAGACTCCCCTCTGCCCTCCTCACCCCCTCCTTGTATAGATTTGTTCATACTGCCCCCCCCCTCCCCCATACTAAACCGCAGTGTGCGCCGCCCTGCATTCTAGCTGTAGGGGGCGGCTTGATGTGCCTTTTACTGCATCACACACTTCCTCTTTCTTTTTTTAAGGGGGGGGAACTTTATGTGGAGTGACACGTCATTGACGTCATCGTGCAGCTGCGCTTGGCCTTGTGCAGGGACATGCGGTACCTTCCTGTGCGCTGGGTCAGCATTCTATCACTTGCAGCTGTGGGTTACAGTGTGAACAGGCCACATAGGAAGCCATTGTTTTTCTGTGTGTCTGGCAGTGACTGGCGTTCCTCCAGTGCGGGAAGGCGTTCCTCCAGTGCGGGAAGACCTTCCTCCAGTGCGGGAAGACCTTCCTCCAGTGCGGGAAGACCTTCCTCCAGTGCGGGAAGACCTTCCTCCAGTGCGGGAAGACCTTCCTCCAGTGCGGGAAGACCTTCCTCCAGTGCGGGAAGACCTTCCTCCAGTGCGGGAAGACCTTCCTCCAGTGCGGGAAGCTGTTCCTCCAGTGCGGGAAGCTGTTCCTCCAGTGCGGGAAGCTGTTCCTCCAGTGCGGGAAGCTGTTCCTCCAGTGCGGGAAGCTGTTCCTCCAGTGCGGGAAGCTGTTCCTCCAGTGCGGGAAGCTGTTCCTCCAGTGCGGGAAGCTGTTCCTCCAGTGCGGGAAGCTGTTCCTCCAGTGCGGGAAGCTGTTCCTCCAGTGCGGGAAGGCGTTCCTCCAGTGCGGGAAGGCGTTCCTCCAGTGCGGGAAGGCGTTCCTCCAGTGCGGGAAGGCGTTCCTCCAGTGCGGGAAGCTGTTCCTCCAGTGCGGGAAGGCGTTCCTCCAGTGCGGGAAGGCGTTCCTCCAGTGCGGGAAGGCGTTCCTCCAGTGCGGGAAGGCGTTCCTCCAGTGCGGGAAGACCTTCCTCCAGTGCGGGAAGACCTTCCTCCAGTGCGGGAAGACCTTCCTCCAGTGCGGGAAGACCTTCCTCCAGTGCGGGAAGACCTTCCTCCAGTGCGGGAAGGCGTTCCTCCAGTGCGGGAAGGCGTTCCTCCAGTGCGGGAAGGCGTTCCTCCAGTGCGGGAGGGCGTTCCTCCAGTGCGGGAGGGCGTTCCTCCAGTGCGGGAAGATGCTGGTCGCCTCAGTATGTCAATGGGCAGACTCTTTTGCCAATGTAAAGATGACATTAGTAGCCCGCGGGTGGGGGGTGTGGTTATATCTGACAAGCCGGCTGACGGGTGAAAGCTATTGGGTGGCTCTGTCGACGCCCAATTGCTTTCACACACCCCTGGGAGCAATGGCCACCCCCACCATGCTTCCTGCGCACCGCACAGCCATTAGCGTGCTTGGGGCGAGTATGCTGGATAGAGGGGAGACAGCCGTTTGTAGTCCGTCCCTTCCTCGGGTCCCCGGGTCATACAGGCCGGGGAAGAATTGAATGCAGCGCCATCATTGGAGGGCAGGCGAGACGTCGCTGGAGGGCAGGCGAGACGTCGCTGGAGGGCAGGCGAGACGTCGCTGGAGGGCAGGCGAGACGTCGCTGGAGGGCAGGCGAGACGTCGCTGGAGGGCAGGCGAGACGTCGCTGGAGGGCAGGCGAGACGTCGCTGGAGGGCAGGCGAGACGTCGCTGGAGGGCAGGCGAGACGTCGCTGGAGGGCAGGCGAGACGTCGCTGGAGGGCAGGCGAGACCTCGTTGGAGGGCAGGCGAGACCTCGTTGGAGGGCAGGCGAGACCTCGTTGGAGGGCAGGCGAGACCTCGTTGGAGGGCAGGCGAGACCTCGTTGGAGGGCAGGCGAGACGTTTGGAGTCTCTCGGACCCCAAATGTCTTATTAAAGAGAACCTGACGCCAGAAAATGATCACATTAGGGCAGCGGTCACTGAATGGCGAACCGCAGTCCAAGAACGGCCCAAGCAGCGCTCCTGCCCGCCAGACTGGAATGACAGATCCGCTACTCAGCAGGGCAGTCGTCATGGCAACCGATGACATCACGTGTGCGCCGCGTCCCTTGCAGCTCACTGTCTCTCCGGCTCCCGCTCCCTGCCTGTACGCTAGTGCGCAGCTGATCCTTCAGCAAGGATCCCGGCACAGATCCTGTCTGCCATCAAGGTAGGGTGTGGTGTTACAGGGGCACCCCCATGGGTTAATTTTATGTTAAGGGGCACTCTGATGGGCACATGTGATGGAAAGGGGCACTCTGGTGAGGAAATATGATGGAAAGGGGTACTTTGAGTGTAAGGGGGCACTCTGACGGGAATACCTTATGTAAGGTGCATCGGTGGACTGACAACTCATGGGGCCCCCGGGCAATAGGGGATCATGGGGCCCCTGTGTCCTTGCCCAAACTCAAAAAAGCCTATGAAAAAGGTACCAGGGGCATTTCATGGGGCCCCCTACTGACCCCGGGCCCTCGGGAAGTGCCCGAGTTTCCAAATGGTCAGTCCGCCCCTGGTAAGGTGGCACTGTGATGGGGAAATATGATGGAAAGGGGTACTTTGAGTGTAAGGGGGCACTCTGACGGGAATACCTGATGTAAGGGGGCACTCCGACGGGAATACCTGATGTAAGGTGGCACTCCGATGGCGACACCTAATGTAAAGGGGCGCACTGATGGGCACACCCTATTCGGACCTCGGCCAAAATTTTAGTGACCGGACCTCCTTGAATTTTAATTACCCGTGACAGGGGACCTGTGTACAAATGTGAATGCACACGTTGGGGGCACCTATGTATGGAAATGTCGGTTTGCGCTACACGTTGCGTATCATCACACACTCCACAATGAGGGCAATGATTGGACGCTCATTATTCGCAGGTACCTCTGAACGCACGGCCTGTATGGGGCATTTAAAGCGTCGCCTTTGAAAAATTCAGGGTGTATAAGTCTGTCACCCTTTCTCGGCTGCACGACATTTTAAAGCTTGACATGTTTGGTATCTATTTACTCGGTATACCCTCATCTTTTATATTTTCCCAAAAATCTGATAATTTTATTAGGTTTGTTTGCCCTAAGTATATCTTTAGTGCATTTTTTACTGAAATTTTACACTTTGCGCTAATATCGTCTGACCGAAGACGTTGGGAGTACCACCATTTTGTTCTCTAGGTTGTCCGCTTTCAATGTATCACATTTGGGGGGTTTTATGTAATCTTCAGGCCTAAAATTTATAATTTTTTTTTTTTTTTTAAGCACGTGCAAAAGCGACTCTGGCAGCGGAAGGGTTAAGGAAACAACTTATTGAGCGTTTGGACCCCTTTTGTGGAAAGACAATGAGCTGGATTAGAATGGAGGAGCTGCCAAGTCCTTCTGCTAATCATGGCTGTATTAAAGGTCCATTTTTTTTTTTTGTTTTTAAAGGCCCTGGAGAATAAAATGTTGGGCATTGCGATATTTTTTTTTTTTTTATGTCACGCGGTTTTTGCGCAGCAGTTTTTTAAAATTTTTGGGGGGAAAAAGTCCACTTTAACCAGTGTAAGACCGTTGGACGTCCTTGGGTCAAAGTGGTTTCACCAGGGTGAGGTCTGCACCTGCCGGCATCGTCCCGCTATCAGAATTTGCAGCCGGAGTTTTCCCTGTTCATTGGAAGTGAATCGCTTCTGAGGCCGCCGCCTTTCTCGGGCTCTGCCATCCAATCGTGGAGCCGGGGAGTGATGCGGCGACGGCGGTACTGGCCAGAAGTGTCGGTGGAGGGATACAGTGTCGTTTAGATACGGAAATTGTCCACCTTTTTGAAAGCCTGTGATGGAGTTTCCATTAGATGGTGCAGATCGCAGCGCGCAGAGCCTCTGTGCCTTGTGATCGCTGTAAACCAATCGGAGCGATCGCAGTTGTAAATGGAAAGTGAATATGCACCCCGCTACCAATCACATCCAACCGACACTCTGACACAGGCATATACGAGGATGACACCACACTGGCACGTGGTCGTTGATCAGCGCAGGCACGTGGTCGTTGATCAGCGCAGGCACGTGGTCGTTGATCGGCGCAGGCACGAGGTCGTTGATCGGCGCAGGCACGAGGTCGTTGATCAGCGCAGGCGCGAGGTCGTTGATCAGCGCAGGCACGAGGTCGTTGATCAGCGCAGGCACGTGGTCCTTGATCAGCGCAGGCACGGGGTCGTTGATCAGCGCAGGCACGGGGTCGTTGATCGGCGCAGGCACGGGGTCGTTGATCGGCGCAGGCACGGGGTCGTTGATCGGCGCAGGCACGGGGTCGTTGATCGGCGCAGGCACGGGGTCGTTGATCGGCGCAGGCACGGGGTCGTTGATCGGCGCAGGCACGGGGTCGTTGATCGGCGCAGGCACGTTGTCGTTGATCGGCGCAGGCACGTTGTCGTTGATCGGCGCAGGCACGTGGTCGTTGATCGGCGCAGGCACGTGGTCGTTGATCGGCGCAGGCACGGGGTCGTTGATCGGCGCAGGCACGGGGTCGTTGATCGGCGCAGGCACGGGGTCGTTGATCGGCGCAGGCACGGGGTCGTTGATCGGCGCAGGCACGGGGTCGTTGATCGGCGCAGGCACGGGGTCGTTGATCGGCGCAGGCACGGGGTCGTTGATCGGCGCAGGCACGGGGTCGTTGATCGGCGCAGGCACGGGGTCGTTGATCGGCGCAGGCACGTGGTCGTTGATCGGCGCAGGCACGTGGTCGTTGATCGGCGCAGGCACGTGGTCGTTGATCGGCGCAGGCCGAGGTCGTTGATCGGCGCAGGCCGAGGTCGTTGATCGGCGCAGGCACGTGGTCGTTGATCAGCGCAGCCATGTGACCCTGCTGACCAATGAGAAGTGTATCATCTTCCGGGAAAGGTATCCCAAAAGAAGTGCTTCTCATTGGTCAGTGTGGTCATGTGGTCAGGTTGACCAATGAGCGCTTCTGTTGCAAGCATTGCGATGGCTACTCGGTCTGGGGTTTATTTTGCGGTGCACGGACTCCGGCAGCAAAGGGCTTCAAGGCCGAAAATTAGCAGTTCAAAATATCTGTATGTATCTACTATAATGGAACCGACCCCAGACTGCACTCGGGTCTTTCCGTTATAACACCGCTTCCCCGTCCGAACACCGACCACGGACACCACAGTGGACCATACAAGACTAGACGACACCAGTCATGAAGTAAACCAGGAAGTAGACTCCTTTATTTGAACACAGATACAAGATATATACACTCACGGAACAATCCCCCCTCCCTGCATGACGACACATGCCGGGGCAATCTACATTTAGTAACGAGACACACCAGCAGACAGTCCCATCAGGAGGGAGGGCTGCTGGAGACACCCCCCCCCCCCACCAAGCCAATACACATAAACACATACATCCCATAATAGTTTGCTCCCAAGCAAGACACACAATAGAACAATGGGATGCAGCCACATGGCATTAAACAATCCACAACCCCCCACCCCAATATTAGGACAGATCACCCTGTACCCCTAACAGGCACAGGGGGACTTACACATAAGAGGGATATGGGGAGCTGAGACAGGGGTCTCCCCACCTCTCCAAGGTGAGTTGTGTTCCATGGGCCCCCCACCCAAAGTGAGCTGTGTTCCATGGGCCCCCCACCCAAAGTGACTCCCGTCACATCTACTATAAAATGGAAGGGATGCCTGGTGTCATGGACGGCTCATTGTGCCACCACCAATAACTGCGTACTAACCTCTCTTCTCTCCCGCAGCATGAAGGTCGGTGTGGAGGACGCCAAGGCCTCGGTGAATATCTCCACATATGTGTACGGTCACACTACCATAGCCATGCTGAAGCAGCAGGTTGGTGCACGCTCTACAACAATGGGGTGTGGGGGGGGGGCGCTACTGGCACTTTATGTAATACATTTACACACTGAATTGCCCTGAATACCCCCTGAACCAATTATCTGCCCTACTACTCTGTTCTCAGCGGAGTACACCTTTAAAGGGAAATGATAGAAGTGTCTGGACTGGAAGGGGGGGGGAAAGTGTCCGGACTGGAAGGGGGGGAAAGTGTCCGGACTGGAAGGGGGGGGATGTGTCCGGACTGGAAGGGGGGGAAAGTGTCCGGACTGGAAGGGGGGGAAAGTGTCCGGACTGGAAGGGGGGGGGGAAAGTGTCCGGACTGGAAGGGGGGGGATGTGTCCGGACTGGAAGGGGGGGAAAGTGTCCGGACTGGAAGGGGGGGAAAGTGTCCGGACTGGAAGGGGGGAAAGTGTCCGGACTGGAAGGGGGGGGGATGTGTCCGGACTGGAAGGGGGGGAAAGTGTCCGGACTGGAAGGGGGGGAAAGTGTCCGGACTGGAAGGGGGGAAAAGTGTCCGGACTGGAAGGGGGGGAAAGTGTCCGGACTGGAAGGGGGGTGAAAGTGTCCGGACTGGAAGGGGGGTGAAAGTGTCCGGACTGGAAGGGGGGTGAAAGTGTCCGGACTGGAAGGGGGGTGAAAATGTCCGGACTGGAAGGGGGGGGTGAAAATGTCCGGACTGGAAGGGGGGGGGGGGGGGGGGGGAAGTGTCCGGACTGGAAGGGGGGGGGGGGGGAAAGTGTCCGGACTGGAAGGGGGGGGGGGGAAAGTGTCCGGACTGGAAGGAGAGGAAAGTGTCCGGACTGGAAGGGGGGGGGGGGGGGGGAAGTGTCCGGACTGGAAGGGGGGGGGAGGGAAAGTGTCCGGACTGGAAGGGGGGGGGAGGGAAAGTGTCCGGACTGGAAGGGGGGGGGGGAAAGTGTCCGGACTGGAAGGAGAGGAAAGTGTCCGGACTGGAAGGGGGGGGGGGGGGGGGAAAGTGTCCGGACTGGAAGGGGGGGAAAGTGTCCGGACTGGAAGGGGGGGAAAGTGTCCGGACTGGAAGGGGGGGGGGGGAAAGTGTCCGGACTGGAAGGGGGGGGGGGGGGGGAAAGTGTCCGGACTGGAAGGGGGGAAAGTGTCCGGACTGGAAGGAGAGGAAAGTGTCCGGACTGGAAGGGGGGGGGGGGGGAAAGTGTCCGGACTGGAAGGGGGGGAAAGTGTCCGGACTGGAAGGGGGGGGGGGGGGGAAAGTGTCCGGACTGGAAGGGGGGGAAAGTGTCCGGACTGGAAGGGGGGGGGGGGGGGGGGGGGAAGTGTCCGGACTGGTAGGGGGGTGACAGTGTCCGGACTGGAAGGGGGTGAAAGTGTCCGGACTGGAAGGGGGGTGAAAGTGTCCGGACTGGAAGGGGGGTGAAAGTGTCCGGACTGGAAGGGGGGGAAAGTGGGGGAAGGGGGGGGGGGGAAGTGTCCGGACTGGAAGGGGGGGGGGGGGGGGGGGGGAAAGTGTCCGGACTGGAAGGGGGGAAAGTGTCCGGACTGGAAGGGGGGGGGAAAGTGTCCGGACTGGAAGGGGGGAAAGTGTCCGGACTGGAAGGGGGGAAAGTGTCCGGACTGGAAGGGGGGAAAGTGTCCGGACTGGAAGGGGGGGGGGGAAAGTGTCCGGACTGGAAGGGGGGGGGGGAAAGTGTCCGGACTGGAAGGGGGGTGAAAGTGTCCGGACTGGAAGGGGGGGGGGAAGTGTCCGGACTGGAAGGGGGGGAAAGTGTCCGGACTGGAAGGGGGGGAAAGTGTCCGGACTGGAAGGGGGGGAAAGTGTCCGGACTGGAAGGGGGGGAAAGTGTCCGGACTGGAAGGGGGGGGGAAGTGTCCGGACTGGAAGGGGGGGAAAGTGTCCGGACTGGAAGGGGGGGAAAGTGTCCGGACTGGAAGGGGGGGAGGAAGTGTCCGGACTGGAAGGGGGGGAGGAAGTGTCGACGGACTGGAAGGGGGGGGGGAAGTGTCCGGACTGGAAGGGGGGGGGGGGAAAGTGTCCGGACTGGAAGGGGGGGGGGGAAAGTGTCCGGACTGGAGGGGGGGGGGGGGGGGAAATGATAGAAGTGTCATTTTCTGACGTCCTCTTTGTTGAAGTTCTATGGCTGTCATGATGATGCAATGGCTTCAGTACTTTTCTTGGTCTCAGGGCTGGACAAAGGGTGCAGATTAGGAGCCCCACTTCAGGGTGTTTCCCAGGTCATTGTGTCAAAGCATTGAAGCCAGTGACACCCATGCAGATAGTATTGTCAAACAGACGTTGGTGACGTTGGGCCCCTATCTCTCCTGGTATCGGTTGTCTATAAGGCCTCATTTGCTTCCGAATGCTGGGAGTGTTTGGTGCAGAGGGAGCATCCGATGGGCGGAAAGGTGAGCGGGGTCTGGAGCAGAGCAACTAGCAGACAGCACAAGTGTTATGCAACATGGGAATGCTATACGGGAAGGTGAGCGGGGACCGGAGAGAGAGAGAGGACTGAGCGGAGGAGGATCAGCAGAGCTGGGGGACCAGAGCATGAGAAACTAGCAATGTCACACATGGTGCGCAGCGTGAGAGTGATGTAGTGGGAGATGAGCAGGGACTGGAGAGAGAGGGGGATCAGCAGAGCTGGGGGTTACTACGGAGCGGGGGGATCAGCAGAGCCGGGGGTTACTACTGAGCGGAGGAGGAGCAGAGCCTGGGGTTACTACCGAGTGGGGGATCAGCAGAGCCTGGGGTTACTACCGAGCGTGGGATCAGCAGAGCTGCGGTTACTACTGAGTGGAGGGATCAGCAGAGCTGGGGGTTACTACTGAGCGGAGGAGGAGCAGAGCCGGGGGTTACTACTGAGCGGAGGAGGAGCAGAGCCGGGGGTTACTAGCAAGTGGGGGATCAGCTGAGCAGAGGGTTTCTAGTGAACTGGGGCTCACACTCCCTATACTGTCCATTCTCGCTGAGGAGGAGTGAGAGGAATAATTCTCGGCCCGTTATTCACCGGGAACTCTAAACTGATGACCTGGAGGGGCTTTTAAAGCATTGGTATGGAAAATATGGGGTACCAGAATTTGTCGCAATTTCACGCACACACGGGGTTATTATTGCTCTCACTGACACCAATGCTGGGGGTTATTATTACACTCACTGACACCAATGTTGGGGGTTATTATTGCTCTCACTGACACCAATGTTGGGGGTTATTATTGCTCTCACTGACACCAATGTTGGGGGTTATTACACTCACTGACACCAGTGTTGGGGGTTATTATTGCATTCACTGACACCAATGCTGGGGGGTTATTATTGCATTCACTGACACCAGTGTTGGGGGTTATTATTGCACTCACTGACACCAATGCTGGGGGTTATTATTGCTCTCACTGACACCAATGTTGGGGGTTATTATTGCTCTCACTGACACCAATGTTGGGGGTTATTACACTCACTGACACCAGTGTTGGGGGTTATTATTGCACTCACTGACACCAATGCTGGGGGTTATTATTGCTCTCACTGACACCAATGCTGGGGGTTATTATTGCTCTCACTGACACCAGTGTTGGGGGTTATTATTGCTCTCACTGACACCAGTGTTGGGGGTTATTATTGCTCTCACTGACACCAATGTTGGGGGTTATTATTACACTCACTGACACCAATGTTGGGGGTTATTATTACACTCACTGACACCAATGTTGGGGGTTATTATTACACTCACTGACACCAATGTTGGGGGTTATTATTAGGAGAATGTATTTTCAGATGCAGTGAATGTTTCTTCTGGAGTATATTAGGCAGCGCAGTCAGCATCCATGACACCCTTCCTTCTGCTGCCTTTTCAGATTTTCAAGGACTATCAGTTCCACCCCAGTATTCAGCGCTGGATTATCGGCCAATGCCTGTGCTCCGATGATCGGACGGTCATGTCTTACGGGATTCGGAGAGATGGAGACACGGCGTTCCTCTACCTGCTGGGAGCTAAACAGGCAAAGCTGACGCCGCAAGACTTGTATGACACCAACATCTACCCGGGACCGTCACACTTGGTGGCCTCCGGCCTGGAGGAGCAACGGCACGCCAAAACCCTCCCCAGCCGGCCCAATCCAAGGCCAGGTGAATGTGCCCCCCAATATACATGTATATAGCTCTGACATATACCGCAGCGCTGTACAGAGAACACTGAGCCAGTCCCATCAGTCTGTGTACCAGAGGAGCTTACACTCTCTAATGTCCCCTCCCCCGCAGTCCCATCAGTCTCTGTACCAGAGGAGCTTACACTCTAATGTCCCCTCCCCCGCAGTCCCATCAGTCTCTGTACCAGAGGAGCTTACACTCTAATGTCCCCTCCCCCACAGTCCCATCAGCCTCTGTACCAGAGGAGCTTACGCTCTAATGTCCCCTCCCCCACAGTCCCATCAGTCTCTGTACCAGAGGAGCTTACACTCTAATGTCCCCTCCCCCACAGTCCCATCAGTCTCTGTACCAGAGGAGCTTACGCTCTAATGTCCCCTCCCCCACAGTCCCATCAGTCTCTGTACCAGAGGAGCTTACACTCTAATGTCCCCTCCCCCGCAGTCACATCAGTCTCTGTACCAGAGGAGCTTACACTCTAATGTCCCCTCCCCCACAGTCCCATCAGTCTCTGTACCAGAGGAGCTTACACTCTAATGTCCCCTCCCCCCACAGTCCCATCAGTCTCTGTACCAGAGGAGCTTGCACTCTAATGTCCCCTCCCCCACAGTCCCATCAGTCTCTGTACAGAGGAGCTTACACTCTAATGTCCCCCCTCCCCACAGTCCCATCAGTCTCTGTACCAGAGGAGCTGACACTCTAATGTCCCCTCCCCCGCAGTCACACCCTATTATTATACATGTATATAGCTCTGACATGTATAGATCTGTATATAGGACTGGTGGGGGAGGGGAGGTCAGGGATCGGAGGGTGTCAGTGGGACGTTGCTGACGATAAATGGAAATGAGAAGTGATAGAAGGAAGGGGATTGGCCGCCTCGCAGGGTGCCGGCACATCGGAGACAATGAGGAAGTGGTGTGAAGTCCAAGTTTCAGAATTCCCCGACCTGTATATAGTGTCCTCGCCCGCCCCTCGCTTGTCACTATGAACCTGTTTATCCGGCCTGGCTTGGTGTCGGTGAAATCTGAGTCCCGGGGTGTCGAGAAGTCACCTGACTTGAATATTCTTTCCCGGATCTCCGTGTTAATTGGAGTATTTTGTTTCCTAGTCTCCAACACCTTCAGGCCAGAGAGCATGGATACCGGGGGGGCCCATCGAATCTGTTCCACAAAGCACCACCTTCACCTGTCCAGGTATGACTGTGTGGGGGTGTCACCTCTCCAGGTATGACTGTGTGGGGGTGTCACCTCTCCAGGTATGACTGTGTGTGGGTGTCACCTGTCCTGGTATGACTGTGTGGGGGTGTCACCTCTCCAGGTATGACTGTGTGGGGGTGTCACCTCTCCAGGTATGACTGTGTGGGGGTGTCACCTGTCCAGGTATGACTGTGTGGGGGTGTCACCTCTCCAGGTATGACTGTGTGGGGGTGTCACCTCTCCAGGTATGACTGTGTGTGGGTGGTGTCACCTGTCCTGGTATGACTGTGTGGGGGTGTCACCTCTCCAGGTATGACTGTGTGGGGGTGTCACCTCTCCAGGTATGACTGTGTGGGGGTGTCACCTGTCCAGGTATGACTGTGTGGGGGTGTCACCTGTCCAGGTCCAGGATGACTGTGTGTGGGTGTCACCTGTCCTGGTATGACTGTGTGTGGGTGTCACCTGTCCAGGTATGACTGTGTGGGGGTGTCACCTGTCCAGGTATGACTGTGTGGCGGTGTCACCTGTCCAGGTATGACTGTGTGTGGGGGTGTCACCTGTCCAGGTATGACTGTGTGTGGGTGTCACCTGTCCAGGTATGACTGTGTGTGGGTGTCACCTGTCCTGGTATGACTGTGTGTGGGTGTCACCTGTCCAGGTATGACTGTGTGGGGGTGTCACCTGTCCTGGTATGACTGTGTGGGGGTGTCACCTGTCCAGGTATGACTGTGTGTGGGTGTCACCTGTCCTGGTATGACTGTGTGGGGTGTCACCTGTCCAGGTATGACTGTGTGTGGGTGTCACCTGTCCAGGTATGACTGTGTGTGGGGGTGTCACCTGTCCAGGTATGACTGTGTGTGGGTGTCACCTGTCCTGGTATGACTGTGTGTGGTGGTGTCACCTGTCCTGGTATGACTGTGTGTGGGTGTCACCTGTCCTGGTATGACTGTGTGGGGGTGTCACCTGTCCAGGTATGACTGTGTGGGGGTGTCACCTGTCCAGGTATGACTGCGTGTGGGGGTGTCACCTGTCCAGGTATGACTGTGTGGGGGTGTCACCTGTCCAGGTATGACTGTGTGGGGGGTGTCACCTGTCCAGGTATGACTGTGTGGGGGTGTCACCTGTCCAGGTATGACTGTGTGTGGGGGTGTCACCTGTTCAGGTATGACTGTGTGGGGGGGGTGTCACCTGTTCAGGTATGACTGTGTGTGGGTGTCACCTCTCCAGGTATGACTGTGTGTGGGTGTCACCTGTCCAGGTATGACTGTGTGTGGGTGTCACCTGTCCAGGTATGACTGTGTGTGGGTGTCACCTGTCCAGGTATGACTGTGTGTGGGTGTCACCTGTCCAGGTATGACTGTGTGTGGGTGTCACCTGTCCAGGTATGACTGTGTGGGGGTGTCACCTCTCCAGGTATGACTGTGTGTGGGTGTCACCTGTCCTGGTATGACTGTGTGGGGGTGTCACCTCTCCAGGTATGACTGGATCGTGTGGGGGTGTCACCTGTCCAGGTATGACTGTGTGTGGCGGTGTCACCTGTCCAGGTATGACTGTGTGGGGTGTCACCTGTCCAGGTATGACTGTGTGGGGGTGTCACCTGTCCAGGTATGACTGTGTGTGGGTGTCACCTGTCCTGGTATGACTGTGTGTGGGTGTCACCTGTCCAGGTATGACTGTGTGGGGGTGTCACCTGTCCTGGTATGACTGTGTGGGGGTGTCACCTGTCCAGGTATGACTGTGTGTGGGTGTCACCTGTCCTGGTATGACTGTGTGTGGGGTGTCACCTGTCCAGGTATGACTGTGTGTGGGTTTGTGTCACCTGTCCAGGTATGACTGTGTGGGTGGGTGTCACCTGTCCAGGTATGACTGTGTGTGGGTGTCACCTGTCCTGGTATGACTGTGTGTGGGTGTCACCTGTCCTGGTATGACTGTGTGTGTGGGGTGTCACCTGTCCTGGTATGACTGTGTGGGGGTGTCACCTGTCCAGGTATGACTGTGTGGGGGTGTCACCTGTCCAGGTATGACTGTGTGTGGGTGTGTCACCTGTCCAGGTATGACTGTGTGGGGGGTGTCACCTGTCCAGGTATGACTGTGTGGGGGTGTCACCTGTTCAGGTATGACTGTGTGGGGGGTGTCACCTGTTCAGGTATGACTGTGTGGGGGTGTCACCTCTCCAGGTAGGACTGTGTGGGGGTGTCACCTCTCCAGGTATGACTGTGTGGGGGTGTCACCTTCTCCAGGTATGACTGTGTGGGGGTGTCACCTGTCCTGGTATGACTGTGTGGGGGTGTCACCTCTCCAGGTATGACTGTGTGGGGGTGTCACCTGTCCAGGTATGACTGTGTGTGGGGGTGTCACCTGTCCTGGTATGACTGTGTGTGGGTGTCACCTGTCCAGGTATGACTGTGTGGGTGGTCCAGGTGGGGTGTCACCTGTCCAGGTATGACTGTGTGTGGGTGTCACCTGTCCAGGTATGACTGTGTGGGGGTGTCACCTGTCCAGGTATGACTGTGTGGGGTGTCACCTGTCCAGGTATGACTGTGTGGGGGTGTCACCTGTCCAGGTATGACTGTGTGGGGGGTGTCACCTGTCAGGTATGACTGTGTGGGGGTGTCACCTGTCCAGGTATGACTGTGTGTGGGGTGTCACCTGTCCTGGTATGACTGTGTGGGGTGTCACCTGTCCAGGTATGACTGTGTGGGGGTGTCACCTGTCCAGGTATGACTGTGTGAGGGTGTCACCTGTCCAGGTATGACTGTGTGGGGGTGTCACCTGTCCACTGGTATGACTGTGTGTGGGGTGTCACCTGTCCTGGTATGACTGTGTGTGGGTGTCACCTGTCCTGGTATGACTGTGTGTGGGTGTCGCCTGTTCAGGTATGACTGTGTGGGTGTCGCCTGTCCAGGTATGACTGTGTGTGTGGGGGGTCACCTGTCCAGGTATGACTGTGTGGGGGTGTCACCTGTCCAGGTATGACTGTGTGGTGGGTGTCACCTGTCCTGGTATGACTGTGTGTGGGTGTCACCTGTCCTGGTATGACTGTGTGTGGGTGTCACCTGTCCAGGTATGACTGTGTGGGGGTGTCACCTGTCCAGGTATGACTGTGTGGGGGTGTCACCTGTCCAGGTATGACTGTGTGGGGGTGTCACCTGTCCAGGTATGACTGTGTGGGGGGTGTCACCTGTCCAGGTATGACTGTGTGGGGAGTCACCTGTCCAGGTATGACTGTGTGGGGGTGTCGCCTCTCCAGGTATGACTGTGTGGGGGTGTCACCTGTCCAGGTATGACTGTGTGTGGGGTGTCACCTGTCCAGGTATGACTGTGTGGGGCCTTTTTTTTAAACGCCAAAAACGCTTCCTAATCTCCTCCTTGTGAAGTCGCCGTCATTTACCTGTAATTGGTTTTATCTCACCCACTGACCGCTTCCTCGTTGTGTTCAGGTCGGCTGGCCGTGCCCCGCCTGCACCTTCATCAATGTACCCACCCGGCCGGGCTGTGAGATCTGCAGCTCCGACCGCCCCACCGACTACGTGGTTCCCGATTGGTACAAACCGGACGAATCCGAGCGACGGAGGCTGCAGCAGGAGAACGATGGGCTGCAACAGTACAAGAAGGTAGGTGATCCCACACTGCACCCTCATACTGCACCCCCACACTGCACCCCGCACAGCACCCTCACACTGCACCCTCATACTGCACCCCACACTGCACCCCGCACAGCACCCTCACACTGCACCCCACACAGCATCCTCACACAGCACCCTCACACTGCGTCCCGCACTGCACCCTCATACTGCACCCCGCACAGCACCCTCACACTGCACCCCGCACTGCGTCCCACACTGCATCCTCATACAGCACCCCACACTGCACCCCACACTGCACCCCGCACAGCGCCCTCACACTGCACCCTCACACTGCGTCCCACACTGCGTCCCACACTGCGTCCCACACTGCGTCCCACACTGCGTCCCACACTGCGTCCCACACTGCGTCCCACACTGCGTCCCACACTGCGTCCCACACTGCGTCCCACACTGCGTCCCACACAGCACCCTCACACAGCACCCCACACTGCACCCCACACTGCACCCTCACACTGCGTCCCACACTGCGTCCCACACAGCACCCTCACACAGCACCCTCACACAGCACCCTCACACAGCACCCTCACACAGCACCCTCACACTGCACCCCACACTGCACCCCACACTGCATCCCACACTGCATCCCACACTGCACCCCACACTGCACCCCACACAGCACCCCACACAGCACCCTCACACTGCATCCCCACACTGCACCCCACACAGCACCTTCACACAGCACCCCACACAGCACCCCACACAGCACCCCACACAGCACCCCACACAGCACCCCACACTGCATCCCCACACTGCATCCCCACACTGCATCCCCACACTGCACCCTAACACTGCACCCCACACAGCACCCCCACACAGCACCCCCCCCACACAGCACCCTCACACTGCACCCTCACACTGCACCCTCACACTGCACCCTCACACTGCACCCCCACACTGCACCCCCACACTGCACCCCCACACTGCACCCCCACACAGCACCCCACACAGCACCCCACACTGCATCCCCACACTGCATCCCCACACTGCACCCTCACACTGCACCCTCACACTGCACCCCCACACTGCACCCCCCACACTGCACCCTCACACTGCACCCTCACACTGCACCCTCACACTGCACCCTCACACTGCCCCCTCACACTGCATCCCCACACTGCGTCTCACACTTCACCCCTCACTGAACACACCGCCAGCTCGGAGCCTCTCTCGGGGTTTTGGGGAAAATTCCCGGTATTACCTGTAAATATAGAAGATCTCCTTATTGAGGACACAGACCAAGAAAACATTTTTAGTAGAGTTAGACCTTTTTTTTATTTTTGCTTTCCATTCCTGCATTTCCTAATGACAACCATTCCCCATCCCCCCCCCCCACTGGTGTCACAGGTACAGGAAGTGAGGAACAATCGCCACATAGGGGACACAGAAATAAAAGCCAGCACAGGAGGGTCACGTCCAAAGAGTTCCCTGCGGGGAAAATCCAACGCTTCAGAGCCCCTATTAAAGGCAACAGACACCTGATAAAGGGGACTTCCTGTCACTTGAAATCGCCCCCCCTCCCCCCCCCCCCCCCCCCCCCGGGTTCTCCCGAGCTCGTGTCGCGCAAGGGCAAGTATATGAATACGTAAACCGCACGTGCGAGGTGTCACCGCAAACGTCAGACTGAGGGCCGTATTTCTGGCAGCGGATCTCCTGTGTAACTTTAACACTGGTAACCTGTAAAGACTTAAAGCGTCGCCTTTGGACAGTTTAATTTCCGTAGCATTGACGCCGTTCAGCGGGCGTGCGCCAATTGTGAAGCTTGATGTGTTTGAGATCTATTTACTCGGCGTAACAACATCTTTTTATATTTTATATTTACTCGGCGAAACATCTTTTTATATTTACAAAACAATTAGGTATTATATTGTGTTTATGTTTGCACTACTAACTTTCATTAATATGTATTTATTCCAAAAAAAAAATTTGCGTTTGAAAAAACCGCTGTGCAAATACTGCATGATATAAAAAATTGTAACGCCCACCATTTTACTCTCTAGGGCCTCTGCTGAAAAACCGTATATAATGTTTCGGGGTTCTAATTTAAATTTTATAGCGAAAAAAAAATGCAGATTTTTTTCATATTTGTGAGACGTGTCAGAATCGGTCTGGTCATTGCAGACGGTGCTGTGCGAAGGTGACCACATGTTTGTAAAGCTTTAGCTAACGGCCTTTGTAGTCAGATGGGCAGAATTTCGTTTTGCTGTACATCCCAAGGTAGGGGGATGAAAGGAAGGGGTGAGCAAGGGGGCGGGTGTAGGGGATGGAGGCAAAGAGTCAGGGCAGGAGGGCGGGTGTAGGGGATGGGAATGAAGAGTGAGGACAGGAGATGAATGTAAAGAGTTGAGGAAGATGGTGGAGACCAGATGGAGGTGAAGAGAGGGCAGGTGTAGGGGATGAGAACGAAGAGTGAGGACAGGTGAAGGGGATGAAGGCAGGGGATCAAAGTATAGAGTGGGCAGGAGGGTGGATGTAGGGGATGAGAACGAAGAGTGAGGGCAGAAGATGAATGTAAAGAGTTAGGGAAGATGGTGGAGACCAGATGGAGGTGAAGAGAGGGCAGGTGTAGGGGATGAGAACGAAGAGTGAGGACAGGTGAAGGGGATGAAGGCAGGGGATCAAAGTATAGAGTGGGCAGGAGGGTGGATGTAGGGGATGAGAACAAAGAGTGAGGACAGGAGATTAATGTAAAGAGTTGAAGAAGATGGTGGAGTCGTGGATGGAGGTGAAGAGTGGGCAGGAGGGTGGATATAGAAGATGAGTTTATGTCACAATGAGAATGAAGAGTGAGGGCAGGAGATGAATGTAGAGTTGAAGACGACGATGGAGAAGGGATGGAGGAAAAGCGAGGGCAGGTGTAGGGGGATGAAAACGAAGAGTGAGGACAGGAGATGAATGTAAAGAGTTGAGGAAGATGGTGGAGTCATGGATGGAGGTGAAGAGTGGGCAGGAGGGGTGGATGTAGGGGGATGAGAATGAAAAGTGAGGACAGGAGATTAATGTAAAGAGTTGAGGAAGATGGTGGAGACCAGATGGAGGTGAAGAGTAGGCAGGAGGGCAGGTGTAGGGGGATGAGAACGAAGAGTGAGGACAGGAGATTAATGTAAACAGTTGAGGAAGATGGTGGAGACCAGATGGAGGTGAAGAGAGGGCAGGTGTAGGGGATGAGAACGAAGACTAAGGGCAGGTGAAGGGGATAAAGACAAACATTGAAGGCAGGGGATCAAAGTAAAGGGTGGGCAGGAGGGTAGATGTAGGGGATGGAGATGAAGAGTGAGGACAGGGGATGAATGTAAAGAGTTGGGGAAGATGGTGAAGTCGTGGATGGAGGTGAAGAGTGGGCAGGAGGGTGGATATAGAGGACGAGAATGAAGAGTAGGGGCAGCAGATGATTGTAAAGAGTTGGGGAAGATGGTGGAGATGGGATGCAGGGGAAGAGTGGGTAGGCGGGCGGACGTAAGGGATGGAGACGAAGATTGAGGGCAGGAGATGATTGTAGAGAGTTGGGGAAGACGACGTAGTCTTGGATATAGACGAAGTGGGCAGGAGTGCATGGATGTAGGGGATGAGAATGAAGAGCGAGGTCAGGAGACAAATATAAAGCGTTGGGGAAGACAGCGGAGTCATGAATGGAGGCAAAGAGTGGGCAGGAGGGCTGGATGTAGGGAATGAGAACAAAGAGTGAGGGCAGGAGATGAAGGTAAAGCGTTGGGGAAGACAGTGGAGTCATGGATGGAGGTGAAGAGTGGGCAGGAGGGCTGGATGTAGGGGATAAGAAGGAAGAGTGAGGGCAGGAGATGAATGTAAAGCATTAGGGAAGGTGGAGACTAGATGGAGGTGAAGAGTGGACAGGAGGACGGGGTGAAGGGGATAAAGGCAAACCTCAGAGGCAGGAGGGCAGATGTAGGGGATGGAGACGAATAGTTAGGGCAGGAGATGAATGTAAAGCATTGGAGAAGACAGTGGAGCCATGGATGGAGGTGAAGAGTGGGCAGGAGGGATGGATGTAGGGGATGAGAACGAAGAGTGAGGGCAGGAGATGAAGGTAAAGCGTTGGGGAAGACAGTGGAGCCATGGATGGAGGCGAAGAGTGGACAGGAGGGCTGGATGTAGGGGATGAGAATGAAGAGTGAGGGCAGGAGATGAATGTAAAGCGTTGGAGAAGACAGTAGAGTCATGGATGGAGGTGAAGAGTGGGCAGGAGGGGTGGATGTAGGGGATGAGAATGAAGAGTGAGGGCAGGAGATGAATGTAAAGCGTTGGAGAAGACAGTGGAGCCATGGATGGAGGTGAAGAGTGGACAGGAGGGGTGGATGTAGGGGATGAGAATGAAGAGTGAGGGCAGGAGATGAATGTAAAGCGTTGGAGAAGACAGTGGAGCCATGGATGGAGGTGAAGAGTGGACAGGAGGGATGGATGTAGGGGATGACAATGAAGAGTGAGGGCAGGAGATGAAGGTAAAGCGTTACGGAAGGTGAAGACCAGATGGAGTTGATGCTGTAGATGTTATTTTTGCTATCTTTAACCACTTCACGCGCCTGGATTGCTTTTATCCCCCCCCTCCCCCCCACCACCTTCCACAGCTTTCTCCTGTCCCAATTAGGGAACCACAGTGTGCAGCCAGTGCTTCCGCCAACTGACAGTAGAGCTGACCAGGGGGCCGGATCTTCCCTGATCATCTCTACGGTCTGAGGAACCGGAAACGACGAGCATTTCGTCGTCACTTCCCGGTTCACCGGATGTCAACAAAGCCATTTTTGTCTTGGGGAAAGCATCTGATTGCACCGGTCTTGGATGACAGACGTGGGGTCTAACCGGCACCAGATCTCTCAGTAAAGAGTACCTGTCACTGCCTAAAATGTACAAAGTCTTTCTCCATTGCGCGGGCGTGCACATTTTTAAAGCGTGACATGTTGGGTATCTACTTACTCGGCGTAACATCCTCTTTCATGTTCTACCAAACAATTGGGTTTTATATTCGGTATTAAGATTCTTTAAAGTGTCGTTGTTTTCACTGCGCACATTCCAACACCCGCCATTTTATTCTCTACTGTGAAAATATTGCAGGTTTTAGGTCATTTGCTAGAAAAAAAATACTGATTTTTTTTATTTTTTTAAAAAAAATAGTGTTTAAGACTGAATCTTTTTCTCCATTTTTAATTTTTTTTTTTACCTCGCTGAGAAAATCGTTCTTGTTTTTGGGAAGTGATATTTCATTTTTTTTTTTTTTTTTTTTTTTGCATTTTTTTTTTTTTTGCATCTTTTTTTTTGACAAAGTTCTTCTCTTCTTTCTTTTTTTTGTGTTTAAATCTTCCAGGAAAAAGGAAGTAGAGAAGACAAGTCCTCCTCCCAGCACAAGACGAAAGAGGGATCCCTAACTAGCGAGTACGTCGTCATATCCGCGTAACCGACGAGGCCGAGCAAGATGCCAAGGGCAGCTTCTGGTGGTTCCCGCTGGAAGAAAAACCCCCCAAAAAACGCCGATCTCGTCTTCCGGAACCGACGCAAAAGCCTGTAGCTGTTGTCCTTTGAATGGGATTTGCGGTTAAAATGAAGAACGCCCCAATTTTGATTTTAGTTATTGTAGTAGCCGTCTGGTGGTGAAAACGGGTATTGCAGCTTGACCGTATCAAAGGAATGTGATGCGGCTTCTTGAAGGGATGTAATTGGGGGGGCGTATCGGGGTATTTACTAAGGAGCCGACTCTCCATGATACCGGGATGGTGATACTAGATATTAGGGGAGGGCAGACCCTGGACACAACTCTGAATCCCGCCATCTTGGGAATTTCCTATCCTACGGACTCCCGATGATGGGGGGGGGTCGCGGTGCTAGGAGCGCCAAGTGAGCAAACACACGGATCCTGGTGGGTGCATATGTGTGGCATAAAGCCCCCCCACCATGCTGCCACATACATGCATACGGTTAGCAGGAACAGGTTGAGGGAAAAAAAATTTGAAATTCTGCTTTTTTATTTTAATAGATTGGTTAGGTGTTAGAATATCTGTCAGGTTTTTATTGCACTTTCTGTCCCAGTGAAGCCTGCAGCCTCTAGATTTAGATCCCCCCCATCTCTCCTCTAGGGGTGGTACAGAGGGAGGAGTTTGTACCGCTGCATCCCCCCATCTCTCCTCTAGGGGTGGCACAGAGGGAGGAGTTTGTACCGCTGCATCCCCCCATCTCTCCTCTAGGGGTGGCACAGAGGGTGGAGTTTGTACCGCTGCATCCCCCCATCTCTCCTCTAGGGGTGGCACAGAGGGTGGGAGTTTGTACCGCTGCATCCCCCCATCTCTCCTCTAGGGGTGGCACAGAGGGTGGAGTTTGTACCGCTGCATCCCCCCATCTCTCCTCTAGGGGTGGTACAGAGGGTGGAGTTTGTACCGCTGCATCCCCCCCACGTCTCCCCTAGAGGTGGTACAGAGGGAGGAGTTTGTACCGCTGTATCCCCCCACGTCTCCCCTAGAGGTGGCACAGAGGGAGGAGTTTGTACCGCTGTATCCCCCCACGTCTCCCCTAGAGGTGGCACAGAGGGTGGAGTTTGTACCGCTGCATCCCCCCCATCTCTCCTCTAGGGGTGGTACAGAGGGAGGAGTTTGTACCGCTGCATCCCCCCATCTCTCCTCTAGGGGTGGCACAGAGGGTGGAGTTTGTACCGCTGCATCCCCCCATCTCTCCTCTAGGGGTGGTACAGAGGGTGGAGTTTGTACCGATGCATCCCCCATCTCTCCTCTAGGGGTGGTACAGAGGGAGGAGTTTATACCGCTGCATCCCCCCATCTCTCCTCTAGGGGTGGTACAGAGGGAGGAGTTTTATACCGCTGCATCCCCCCATCTCTCCTCTAGGGGTGGCACAGAGGGTGGAGTTTGTACCGCTGCATCCCCCCATCTCTCCTCTAGGGGTGGTACAGAGAGGAGGAGTTTGTACCGATGCATCCCCCATCTCTCCTCTAGGGGTGGCACAGAGGGTGGAGTTTGTACCGCTGCATCCCCCCATCTCTCCTCTAGGGGTGGTACAGAGGGAGGAGTTTATACCGCTGCATCCCCCCATCTCTCTCTCTAGGGGTGGTACAGAGGGAGGAGTTTATACCGCTGCATCCCCCCATCTCTCCTCTAGGGGTGGTACAGAGGGAGGGAGTTTGTACCGATGCATCCCCCATCTCTCCTCTAGGGGTGGTACAGAGGGAGGAGTTTATACCGCTGCATCCCCCCATCTCTCCTCTAGGGGTGGTACAGAGGGTGGAGTTTGTACCGATGCATCCCCCATGTCTCCTTTAGGGGTGGTACAGAGGGTGGAGTTTGTACCGCTGCATCCCCCCATCTCTCCTTTAGGGGTGGTACAGAGGGAGGAGTTTGTACCGCTGCATCCCCCCATCTCTCCTCTAGGGGTGGTACAGAGGGAGGAGTTTTATACCGCTGCATCCCCCCATCTCTCCTCTAGGGGTGGTACAGAGGGAGGAGTTTGTACCGCTGCATCCCCCCCATCTCTCCTCTAGGGGTGGTACAGAGGGAGGAGTTTGTACCGATGCATCCCCCATCTCTCCTCTAGGGGTGGTACAGAGGGAGGAGTTTTATACCGCTGCATCCCCCCATCTCTCCTCTAGGGGTGGTACAGAGGGTGGAGTTTGTACCGATGCATCCCCCATGTCTCCTTTAGGGGTGGTACAGAGGGAGGAGTTTGTACCGCTGCATCCCCCCCATCTCTCCTTTAGGGGTGGTACAGAGGGGGAGTTTGTACCGCTGCATCCCCCCATGTCTCCTTTAGGGGTGGTACAGAGGGAGGAGTTTGTACCGCTGCATCCCCCCATCTCTCCTCTAGGGGTGGTACAGAGGGAGGAGTTTGTACCGCTGCATCCCCCCCATCTCTCCTCTAGGGGTGGTACAGAGGGAGGAGTTTGTACCGCTGCATCCCCCCCACGTCTCCCCTAGAGGTGGTACAGAGGGAGGAGTTTGTACCGCTGCATCCCCCCACGTCTCCCCTAGAGGTGGCACAGAGGGTGGAGTTTTGTACCGCTGCATCCCCCCATCTCTCTTCTAGAGGTGGCACAGAGGGAGGAGTTTTTGTACCGCTGCATCCTCCATGTCTCCCCTAGAGGTGGCGCAGGGGGTGGAGTTTGTACCACTGCATCCCCCCATCTCTCCTAGGGGTGGTAGAGAGGGAGGAGTTTGAACCGCTGCATCCCCCACGTCTCCCCTAGAGGTGGCACGGTGGGAGGAGTTTGTATCGCTGCATCCCCCACGTCTCCCCTAGAGGTGGCACAGAGGGAGGAGTTTGTACCGCTGCATCCCCCACGTCTCCCCTAGAGGTGGCACAGAGGGTAAGGTTCGTACTATTGCCTCTTCCGCTGGGGGGGGGCCACAGAAGGTAGAGTATTTCTGCTTCCCCCCCCAACCCATTTCCCACTGGGGGGACACAGAGTAGAGTTTGTAAATTAAATCCTGAACGTGCCTTCATTATTTACCGTTTAAAAAAAAACCGTTTTCCTTTTTTTTTTTTTTTTTAGATAATTATATATTTCCTGCCGTAATTCAGGTACTTTTAGGTCCCGGCTGCGGGTGCTTCCTGATCAAAAGGAAATGTTCCCTTTCCCTAGTCCGCAACGTGACCCTGACCTCCTGCTAGACCCTCCACCCGTAATCGGGGATCCCCTGCTAGACCCTCCACCCGTAATCGGGGATCCCCTGCTAGACCCTCCACCCGTAATCGGGGATCCCCTGCTAGACCCTCCACACGTAATCGGGGATCTCCAGCTAGACCCTCCACAACGTGACCCTGACCTCCTGCTAGACCCTCCACCCGTAATCGGGGATCCCCTGCTAGACCCTCCACCCGTAATCGGGGATCCCCTGCTAGACCCTCCACAACGTGACCCTGACCTCCTGCTAGACCCTCCACCCGTAATCGGGGATCTCCAGCTAGACCCTCCACATGTAATCGGGGATCTCCAGCTAGACCCTCCACCCGTAATCGGGGATCCCCTGCTAGACCCTCCACCCGTAATCGGGGATCCCCTGCTAGACCCTCCACCCGTAATCGGGGATCCCCTGCTAGACCCTCCACCCGTAATCGGGGATCCCCTGCTAGACCCTCCACCCGTAATCGGGGATCCCCTGCTAGACCCTCCACCCGTAATCGGGGATCCCCTGCTAGACCCTCCACCCGTAATCGGGGATCCCCTGCTAGACCCTCCACCCGTAATCGGGGATCCCCTGCTAGACCCTCACCCCGTAATCAGGATCTCCAGCTAGACCCTCCACCCGTAATCAGGATCTCCAGCTAGACCCTCCACCCGTAATCGGGGATCTCCAGCTAGACCCTCCACACGTAATCGGGGATCTCCAGCTAGACCCTCCACAACGTGACCCTGACCTCCTGCTAGACCCTCCACCCGTAATCGGGGATCCCCTGCTAGACCCTCCACCCGTAATCGGGGATCTCCAGCTAGACCCTCCACCCGTAATCGGGGATCCCCTGCTAGACCCTCCACCCGTAATCGGGGATCCCCCTGCTAGATCCTCCACCCGTAATCGGGGATCCCCTGCTAGATCCTCCACCCGTAATCGGGGATCCCCTGCTAGACCCTCCACCCGTAATCAGGATCTCCAGCTAGACCCTCCACACGTAATCGGGGATCCCCTGCTAGACCCTCCACCCGTAATCAGGATCTCCAGCTAGACCCTCCACACGTAATCGGGGATCTCCAGCTAGACCCTCCACAACGTGACCCTGACCTCCTGCTAGACCCTCCACCCGTAATCGGGGATCCCCTGCTAGACCCTCCACCCGTAATCGGGGATCCCCTGCTAGAGACCCTCCACCCGTAATCGGGGATCCCCTGCTAGACCCTCCACCCGTAATCGGGGATCCCCTGCTAGACCCTCCACACGTAATCGGGGATCTCCAGCTAGACCCTCCACAACGTGACCCTGACCTCCTGCTAGACCCTCCACCCGTAATCGGGGATCCCCTGCTAGACCCTCCACCCGTAATCGGGGATCCCCTGCTAGACCCTCCACCCGTAATCGGGGATCCCCTGCTAGACCCTCCACCCGTAATCGGGGATCTCCAGCTAGACCCTCCACAACGTGACCCTGACCTCCTGCTAGACCCTCCACCCGTAATCGGGGATCCCCTGCTAGACCCTCCACCCGTAATCGGGGATCCCCTGCTAGACCCTCCACCCGTAATCGGGGATCCCCTGCTAGACCCTCCACCCGTAATCGGGATCCCCTGCTAGACCCTCCACCCGTAATCGGGGATCCCCTGCTAGACCCTCCACCCGTAATCAGGATCTCCAGCTAGACCCTCCACACGCAATCGGGGATCTCCAGCTAGACCCTCCACCCATAACGGGGATCCCCTGCTAGACCCTCCACCCGTAATCGGGGATCCCCTGCTAGACCCTCCACC